TGTCCAAGGCAGACTGATAAGTCAAGCGAGTCTCTTTCAACAACGACCGCTGTACTGCTTTGTCTCTTATACCACATACAATTCTATCCCGCAACATGTCAGGCAGAATGTCCTCTGGATACTGGCAGTGTTCTGCGATGCTTCTCAAAGCAGCAACAAATACAGCTACGCTCTCCCCTTCTTCCTGGGAACGGGTGTTAAACTCGAACCTCTTTATGATAGGAGATGGCTTTGGGTGAAAATGGGCTGTTACCAATTTTACCAGATCGTCAAATGTATAATCCATCGGTTTTCTCGGGAGAGATAGAGTTTTAGCAAGGCGATAAGTAGATGGACCAACATTCGTTAGCAAGATAGCATGTTGTATATCCTCATCAACTATCTTGTTGGCCACGAAGTAGCGCTGGAGATGCTCAGCATACTCAACCCAATCTTCTTGAGTGGCATCAAAAGTAGAAATAGAACCATGGAAAGATGCTGCCATTGTTTTCACCCTTGTTGCAAAACTTTTGTGTACTTAGGTGCAGGATTGACCAAAGCACAGCTTGCTTGCACGCAATAACAGTGAAAACTTTAGTAAAATTATCTCTCCTCTTAAAACACGTGCAATCAATCAATAATATAATAAAAAGAACAATAGAGCCGGCCAGTGCAGGGCCCAATAATGATAATCATTGATCAATAATGAATTAGATGTGTTTGAATATATGTATGCATGAATACATAACAGTTGTCATGCAGACAAAGTTTCTATATTCTGTTTTTATCAAAAGTTAGAACAAGAAATCAATATGTCTGGTGAAACTGAGTAGACTTTAGTTGGCCATAATGGCTTAGTTTACTCTAATAATTTTCAAAATTTATTTATCAAAAGTGACCGTGGCGAATTTTTAAAAGATTTACACTACAATTAGATAAATGTCTGCAGTACATTTTTCAGATAAAAGTTTTATGTTTTGACCTTTGTTCATTTATTTAGGGTTTTCAGACAAAATTCCTAAGTGATGCAAACTTAAGAACTGAGGGCACTAGTACATTAAAGTCGCTCCACTTGACTAAAGTTGGATGGGCTTTTCTGGTTAGTGAGTGACACTGTTTATTTTTTATGTTTGAGTTATCACTTAATTGTATGTGTTAGGTACTTCCATTTTTATTGTTATTAACTTTACTCAAAAGTCATATCTTTGTTTGATTCAGTACTTCTGCATCAGATACTCAAAGTGCATGTTGATAGAAATTAGTATCATGTCTTTCATAGGATATGATATTACATGTATTACATGTACATGTATCTACATGTATAGACCAGTTAACGCTATGTGTATGAAGTAAAATTTTTCTGCCGCCATTTTGGAGTCCTACTTCCAATGGTTGTCTATGTAGCGATTGTGAAAAGAGCTTTTTATCCAAAGAACTGCTGTATCTTGCTTCTGCTTACTTAGCATCATCCAGTGTCTAAAGTGGGCTCATGGACTTTAATAAGTGCTACTAGGACCTATAGGAGCAAAGATATTGCTTTCTCCCATTCCACTCTTAGTCAACTGTGACTCCAAAATGGCGGTAGGAAAATTTTCCTTTATTTATGGTATCACGATGAATATACTTTAAATTTTATGAATATAGTTAGCGCCTACTGGTCCATTCAGGAGCTCTTCCAATGAAACAAGTGCAATCTTTGTTGTGGGATTTTGTCGTAGTTTAAAATGGTCTTTGACTGTCCTAGGTTTAAGTGAACATATTACATGTATATAGTTGGTTTTTGATGAGTTGAACTACATCATCTACCGTAATACTTCTAAAATTTTGCGCCTCTAATTTTGAGAATAAATAATTGTTAAGCACTTTTATTTCAAAATTAATTTTAATTATTTGTTTTGTAAATTATGATAAAATTTTATCTGATTTTGCCATTTCCCTCTAATTTTGAGACTCGACAGCATTATGGCGCATAGACCTGTGCTGGAAGAGGCTGAAGAGCATCTCTAACTCACAGTGATACCTCGAGCAGCACTCCACCAGACAGATGATTGCCATTAGTAGGCCTAAGTTCTGTTGAGTTGATAGTGAGCAAAATTCAGATTATGAAAATTATTTGTCAAGCAACAAAGAAGCATCGACAGACTTACAATATCTTGTCCTTATGTGCTGCCTCATATTTCGTCAGAATTCATTGTTAGCTGTCCATTAAGGCTAAGTTTACTTTAATTATTTGTTTTCGATATTTATCAAAAGTGACTGTGGCGAATGTTTAGAAGAATTACTGTACTACTGATCCACCCTTATGGCATTGTAAGTTAGTGCGAGCAGTTTCATTGCGGAACAGGATCTTCTGAAAATTATTACCAATTTTAATATGTAGGTGGTACTAGGTTATCAAAAAGTTTTTTCTAGGCAACATGAATGGGAAATTTTTATGATATTTTATAATTTGTGCTCTCATGAATATCATTTTCATCTTATTGCTTTTGTTCAAATCTTAGTTTAATTGTTAAAAATGAAATAACACTTTAGACATTGATAAATTAACTTGGAAACTTCAGAAAGAACACTCAGTCTGCTGTATATTGCCAAGGCTTCTTGTTTTTCATCACTTTTCACTGATAGTCATCGGTTTGACAGCTTGATATTTGCATTTCAATCTTTTATTCAAATAATGACCGGCACAAAAGTTTTGTAGCTAATACTAAGAGGTCGCTGGGACTGAAACAGGAACATACATATACATGTACATGTAAATAAATTTTGACCAGAAGATAATGAATAGAATGTGCTGTGTTCAGTCATTTTATTCTATATTTTGGTGATATAAATACAACTGAACGCAAGTTGACAATGTGTGCACTTGTATTTTTGCACATGAAATCAATTTGCCTTGAGATATGTATATATAGTATAGTGTATAGGGGTTTTATTTTGATAAAAATTTGCAAAATTTAGTGCCGGGCGATAGTGCTACTATCATATCACCATTGATAGTTCTTAAAATATTAGCAATTGTGATACTATCACAATATTAACAATTAATTTGAATATATTTATTTAATGTAACAAAAGAGGCAAAAGGGTTAGAGGTGGAGGAATATTTGAGGTTTTCAGCTAGGAAAACCAGCATATTAATTAACAATTTCTAGATGTTGACAAGCTCTTTTTTTGAGTAACTATATTCCCATCATTGCTATAAATGCATGTTTAGAGGGAACAGACGTTGCTGGTATACATAAATTTTTTCTAGCTAATTGTGATAGTACTGGATAACGAAAGAAATTTGTGCTCCACCATGCCAAAGGATTATCAGTAGTAATAGGCTCTAAAGAATATCTGGAAATTTCTGCATGAGCCTTTTGGAGGTTATTCAAGCGCTCAGACACTTTACCATCAACTGCATGAAAACTAAAAATACTTCCATACAACAATACTTTATAGTAATTGCACCAGGTATAGGCACTAATTCTGTTTTTTTGTGGCAGTACTTCTAGTAATGATAACACCTTCCATTGTCACAGCTGAACTAACTAATTAAAGTAACCACATGTTTGATGATGCTTTAATGTGTCAATCATGATAAGATTCTCAGTAATTGTAATTGTAATAGAAATTACCATGTAATATGTGTGAATTACATGCATGTTGCACTTGACAGTTAGCAGAAATTGTTAAGCGTCAATTTGTCAGTGCCACTGTTGGGAGGAACTTTGTGGCACACTCGATTCTATTCAACTTGCTTAGTCATGCGTAGAAAGCACATTTTAATACCAAAAGATTTTAATAATGTACATGTACCTTGACTTAAAAGTAATAGTAATAGTAATAGGAATTAAGTGTCAAGTAACAGTAATATAATATAATTACTTTAGTTTAGTCAAGTAATGTAATAGTAATAGTAATATCAGAAAATTTATAGTAATAGTAATTGTAATACATTGCATTTTAATGTAATTGACCCCATGTCTGGTGGTATAGTCGGTTTCAGTTGAGAAGAAACAGAAGTAAATCAATATTTTCGTCATTAAAACATCACGTGTAGCCCCGCCCAAACATGGCTGTAATCTGCAAGCTCAGTCATTCTTCCAGCGTTTCTTCTCCTTTAACTTACTTTACTATCTATTGTACCTCTACAGTGGTTGCTGCTACCTCCATCTATCCTTTTCTTGTTTTTGGTGCCTGTTTTTAGCTTGTACAGAGCTCGGAAGACGGGTGAATCAACGAGTGTACTGGCAATGAAGAACAAGTAAGATTAGTCTCGCGTAGCCAGACCCATCCCCCTTTTTGATAATTGGACGGCGGGGGAAGGGTCTGGTGGAATGAGCAATGCCCACTCATTCTGCTATTAGCGGAAATGACGTCACGTAATTAATTTTTGCGTAGGCTGGTTTATGTACATCATTCTGCATCATGCCATGACATCACACTATTAAATTAATTCACAAGCAATGGAGGCGGCCAAGGCGCAGGCTGCTTTGCATCACAGTTTAGCTAAAGTGGCTGCTACCTTGAAGATTACTATAAAAGAGAAACAGAAGGAGGCAATTCATGCTTTTTTTTCTGGGAGAGATGTCTTTGTATCTCTCCCAACAGGATATGGCAAGTCTCTTATTTATGCAATTTTGCCTCTTGTATTTGATCACATTAAAGGTAAGAGAAACTTGAGTTCGTCACTCACTATCAGTG